CACATTAAAGCTCGAGATGCTGTTCCATTTCCTCCCATTTCCCAGGCAGCTGGAAGGAAGAAAAAGGAAGTGAAGAGGAAAAACTTTAATTTATCAGATCATGACCCATAGATATCACTTCTGCTTGCTTTTAATCATCCAGTTATTAGTTATATTACCACACTCAGCAGTAGGGGATGAGAAAAATAGACTCCAGCTCGTGTTCCTATGCTGAGCTAAAACTTAAGGGGTATCACATCATCTTAAGCATCTTATAATTCAAATGCTAACTTCTTTTCATACAGCTTTTGTATTAAAATTATTTACCCACCATATATCTTTTGGGTAATTATTTTACAGTTTGCCTTTTATGGTTTGGTTTATATAATCTCTCCATATTGAAATTCTTTGTTCTTAGTAGTGTGGTTCAGTTGAACAATATATGTGTGTATCTATGTATTTAGTCTTTGAGTATATCTTTAGCATTCATACTTAGAAATTCTACATTTTCTTGAATATTCTAAAGATGTTCAATTATTTTTTTAAGAATTTCTATGCTTTGAAATCTTTTTCCTTTCAATATTTGACTAGTGGACTTCATTTTGAATAAGTAAAGAGTTAAGGATATAGTTTTCTTTTTTCTTTTAACAAACTGTTCCATTTGACCTAACAAATTACTGAGTAAACTGCTTATGCTAGTATAAACTGAATAGATAAGTAGATAGATAGATAGATAGATAGATATGTCATTTAGTTGTTCTGTATACTAATCTATATCTATCTATCTATACAGAGGGAATAGTTTTTAAAAATTGGGGGAGACGAACCAGGGGAGACTATGGACTCTGAGAAACAAACTGAGGGTTCTAGAGGGGTGGGAGGCGAGGGGATGGGTTAGCCTGGTGATGGGTATTAAAGAGGGCACATACTGAATGGAACACTGGGTGTTATATGCAAACAATGAATCATGGAACACTACATCAAAAACTAATGATGTAAGGTATGGTGATTAACATAACATAATAAAATAAAAAAAATTCATTGTTATAATCCAAGGATCTGTTTTAACACAAAACACTCTTTTAAAAGATTACCACGTGGTTATTATTCCACATGAATTTTATTTTATTTTTGCTTTGTTTTAAGTTTTCATTTAAATTATTAACTTCAAGTTTACAAAAGTACAATTTAGATTTTGTTTGCATTTTCTGAAGTATACACTTAGTATGGGAGGATGATATCTTAACACTAATGAATCTACTTAGGAAAATACTGTGTGCCATCATTTATTCAAGCCTTCTTGTATATCTTACAATAAAACTATTATTGCAAAGTAAGACCTGCAAATTATAAAGATTTTAATATTGAAATACAAGGAATTCCAGAAGTGATAGAATACTATATGGATCGATTTTAGTTAATATGGTTCTAATCTGTATGTTTTTCCTTACTTAGAAATGCAATCTGCTTTCTTATTATATTTCTATCTTGACAATGGACAACCAACTGATCAAAAACTACTGATAGTATTTCTGTGTAAGATATTAGCTTAGTCTAACCCATAGAACTTTGTGTGTATCTTAAAATTCATAACAGAAATAAATCCTCTCACCTTAAATCAATATTTATCAATAAGTCTTTTATAACTAATGCTTGAATAAATCAATAATCGGCAAACACTTTCAAGAATATAACACTGAAATGACTACTATGTGTTAAAGCCAAAAGGGTTTTGGCTAAAATGATGCTCAGAATAGAATTGATAGTATCAACATAGATAAAATTATATAAAAAAACAAACTACAGTATTTTTTCAAAAAAGGAAACTAAGCATTAAGATAAAAAGGAAAGGGAGCCATACACAAAACTATATAGAAAGAGATTAAAAATAAGATCACTAAATTAATTATAAAATAAACTAAAATATAAAACTAAAGAAAACTAGATCTTGAGTTTTGGGAAAAAAAACCCACAAAACGAATTAGCAAAATTAATTGAAAAGATACTAGTAGTAAAATTATTTAGAATAATAATGATGGAGCTGCAATAATACAGAAGAGAGTAGAGTAATTATAAAGAAATACTTTTCTTATCCACATGCGAATAAATTTGACCACCTCACTAAGTTGGCTGACATTTGAGGAAAAAAATAAATCTAATAAAAATAATAATAATAATAATAATGTTATCCAAAATTACTGTTCAGATCTAGGTAAGTTATATCCTACACAAAGGCTCCAGCCTGAGTCTCTTCATGTCTACTATGTAGGGTTCCCACACATCTAAAGGAGGAGAGTAATTTTCCGTATTTGCAAAAGGATGATCTGGCTTCATTCTTCTTTTTTGATCTAGAGGAGATTCAAAATTGAATCAGATCAACTGCCATAGAATAAATGTAAAATAACCTTGAAAGAGGGACAAGTAGGTTAGCAGCTGATAGCTGGATAATAGCCAAAATTCCAAAACATTTTAAAACTGAGAAAGCTGTAAAAATGTTACTATATCTGTACAATTTAAATCTTAGAAAATCACAAATCTATACTATACACTTACAATCAATTGTAGACTACTAACTTGTTGAAGTCTTATTAGTTTTAATAACTGTAGTAGTAGTAATAAATCAGAAACTGTAAATATACTTGTTTCCAAAACCATTTCAAACAGAGGAAACGAAGTTATGATAAAAATAGTTGTTATGAATTCATCAGAAGTTTGGGTAAAAAAAAAGCATATTCATGGATTTCTCTAGAGGTCTATATCAGGGATTGGAAAGCCTTTACTTTAAAGAACTAGATAGTAAATACATTTGTCTTTGTGGGCCGTATTACTGCAATTATCCGATTTTGTATGAAAGTAGCCATGGGAAATTAAAAATGAATGAATGAGCATGACTGTGTTCCATTCATTTTATTTACAAAAGCAGACAGTGTTACATGAAGCTCCTCTGCATAGTTTTCTGATTCCTGGTCTAGATTATCTACATGAAGTTGTAGGAGAAAAAGGGCCTGATAGAAAAAGACTTAGAATTCATAAAATTTATGAAATTGGCCAAAATTAATTCAAAGTCATTGTTAGGGTTTTTTGTTTTTTTTTTTTTTTACCTGTACTCTTATTTAATTTTCAATAATATTTCAAGATGTATAAACTGGGAAAATTACATTCCATTTTTATTTTCATTTTACAAATAAAGATCCTTAACTCATTAGATATAGAAATTCACTTAGGGCCACAGAGCTATAGATGATTGGTCTATATTTGAAATCAGATTGTGTGAATCCAGTATGGATGGTTAATGATGCCATAAAATTAAAACCACTAGGCATGGTCCCAATCTCTCTGCAAGACCGTTTCAGAAGTGAAATGGAGATACTAGACTTCACTTCAAAACATTCATCATCATTTAAATCCAAATTGTTATTAAAATGAGGCTATTCATGCTAAAATATTCATTTGATAAAATTATTTGAGAAGAGGAAGTTGACTTCCACAGCCAAAAGCTAGATGTTAAGGAAAAAAGATAATCTTTTCATGTTGGTAAATTTCTTTAGGATTTTAGGACTTAAGAAAGCTCAAACAGTAGGAGACTATCATTGACATAACTTGAAATGTACACAGCATTTCTCTCTCAAGAAATATATTCATGAATGTATATGAAATAATTGAGCTTAATAACAATTATTAAAAAGGGAGAAGCAATACCCAACAAGTAAGGATAAATAGTTCCTTTTTACTACATAAAGCAATTTTAGTTCATGTATATGGAACAAGTTTGATTGCTCTTGAGTTAGACTTCCCTTACAGTTCTAATACATTATTAAATATTTACAAGCTTTAAAAATATTAACTGTTACTGCTTACCTTGCTTTAGGCTAGCATAATTGACACCTGCATTTTAGTTCCACTTAAATTTTACTTATTAAACATTATTTGATGAAGTTCATTTGGCCTATGTGTTTTAAAACTGTGCTATGTGTAACTTAATTAATAGTTCAAAAAGTCAGTAGTTTTATTATCTCAAAGGGAAACCTGTTCAGTATGATTTATAAGGACTGCATGGTAAGGAAAGGATGAGGGCACATTACTAAACGCTTTAGGCCTAAAGATACTTGTAATGCTGAGAATAAAATAACTTCAAGTTTGATATTATCCTTAAAGATGTTCTATTTTGACTACTCAACTGATAATTGCATGTTTTTGTTTGTTTGTTTGTTTTGCCTAATAGTCATTTAGACTCTCCTAATATACAACCGGTAAAATAAAACCATTTCCTTGTGATGTCATGTCAACTTTGGACAGGTCCCATTAATAGAAAATTTTCCTTATTTTTAACTGTATTTGTCTTCCAAATTTTTGGTACTTGTTGCCATGCCTATCATTTTTAGAACCTATAAAATATTTACTCTTCTTATTTTCAAATTCTGAAATTCAAATCAGCTAAGGTGGTTTAGCTGCTCCCCATACAGCAAATAAATTTCCTTTAGAAACACTGCAGTTTTTAATTAACCTTTTAAAATGAATAACCACTACCCAGCTAACCACATTATTCTCACTGGTGCCAAAGTAGCAGAAATTATTTTGCATCTTCCTCAAAAACTTACAGAAACTGATCACTTTTCAATTTTTAAGTTTTCCTCCCATGACCTTTAAAATAAATCTTTGGTATTAAAGGTATGGAATTTTTTTTTTTAAAGATTTTATTTATTTATTTGACAGAGAGAGACACAGCGAGAGAGGGAACACAAGCAGGGGGAGTGGGAGAGGGAGAAGCAGGCTTTCTGCTGAGCAGGGAGCCAGATGCGGGGCTCGATCCCAGGACTCTGGGATCATGACCTGAGCCGAAGACAGACGATTAACGACTGAGCCACCCAGGTGCCCCGGGAATTTTTTTTTTTTTAAAGGACATGTTCAACAATAATTTCTCAATGTCAATGGTATCCCCAATTTCTGTTAATTTACAAAAATTCTGGTGCCTTTAACACAAGGTCTATTGAAAATAATGTTGCTAATTATGTATTTTACAGGTTAAAGCACTGGGATTTCTTAACAACAGACAGCCCTGAAGCTCAAGCTATTTTAGCACACCTGAGGGCCAACACTGATGCTGTGTGTTTGCTATCTCACAAAAGGTAAGATTGGAAAAAAGTCAGTAAACCAGTGGGGGGATAGATTGCATATGGCTTTAGGAGGCTTTAATGAAGGTTTTGGCCTCTACCACAAGTAAGATGAAAACACATCAAAAAATTTCAAGCAAGTGAATGACTTACTATATTTTAAAAGGATCAATCTAGCATTTCAGTGTGTCCAGGCATGGAAGCCAGAGACCAGTTAAAAATTTATTACAATAATCCAGATAACAGAATATTATCTCTTGGACAAAAGTAGAAGCAGTGAAAGAAACACAAAATAGTTTTCAGTATTTGAGATGATAGAATTTGTAGGGTATTCAAAAACATTTTAAGAGAGTTCAGCTGAAAATAAATGGATCTGAGAAATGGGGTAATATCTATAATATGGAATTAATGTTTTGTTTTGTTCTGTATTTTTTGCTTAAAATGAGTTATAGTGTAACATGGGTGTATGGAGATGGTGATAATTAGTGGAGAGGGTGATGTTAATGATGTAAATGAAAAACCGAACAATTAATGGAGTGATAACCTTGAAAAGGATATTAAGAGACTACCAGATGCTGGGAACTAGTCTAGACAGTGAAGACATAACAGTAAAAAGACAAAGTTTCCACTTAATGGAATGGTAAATTGAAGATAAAGTTCAGTAAAATAGGTAACTCAACATTCTAAATATACACTATCTTGGTTTAAAATGCTATAAAAATGTAGAGTTTGATTTGAAATGGTGCAAGTTTGCTTATTTATATGAGGTGATCAGGAAAGGTCTCACTGCTTAAGTAGAAGAGGAGACAGGATCCAGTGGACAAGCGGGAGTGGCTTTAGATATGGGTAGCCCACGCATTGAAATAGGAAAAGAAAAAGAAAGGTAACGACACAAGTTTATTAGTATCTCTGATGGTGAGAGTGTATACAGATTTTCTTCTAATTGTTTCTGTTACTTCAATAAAATAAACATCAGTGTTAAAAAGTTTGAGAAGTTAAAACCTTGTAAGGGGAGAGGAATGCAAATCCATCAAGACTGGGTTAAGCCCTGGGTAGAAAATTTGAGACATACCTACTAGAACAAACTTCTTTTTCTATTTGTTCTGGCTATTCTAGACCTTTGAATTATATGTAAATTTTAAAATCACTGTTCAGTTTCTACACACACACACACACACATACACGTGCATGTGTGCACACAGGTATGCACACACACACACACACACACAATGATGTGATTTTGGATGGGATTATATTGAACCTACAGTTTAATTTGACAACTAACATAATACTGTTTCAATTCATTCACATGGAGTGTCTCTCCATTTATTTATATTTTGGTGCTTTTTCATCAATTTTTATAGTTTTCATTGTATAATGCTTGCTCTTTCTTTGTTAAATTTACTCCTATTTTATTCTTTTTGATGCTGTTGTGAACCCAATTTTTAAATATTTATTATTACTTTATTGAATAGATTATTCAATGCTAGTATATAAAGATAAAACTGATTTTTTGTTTTGTTTATAGATCTTTTATCTCTTGATCTTATAAAACTCGTAAGTTTTATATTTTCCTTAGAATTTTCTTGGGTGCATGGGTGGCTTAGTCAGTTAAGCATCCAGCTCTTGATTTCAGCTCAGATCATGAGATTAAGCCCCACGTTGGGCTCCACACTCAGCATGGAGTCTGCTTGGGATTCTCTCTCTGTCTCTGCCCCTCCTCTGCTCATGCTCTCTAATTAACTAACTAAATAAATAAAATCTTAAAATAAAATTTTCTATATACATGCTTATGTCCTCTGTGAATAACAGGAGTTTTACTTTCCCTCTCCAATATGGATGAGCTTTCTTTCTTTTTATTGTCTTACTGCACAGCATAGGAACATCGGGATAAGCCTGAAGTGGAGAGATTGAGTATCCTAGCTTTTCCTCTAGTCTTAATGAGAGAGCGTAAAATAATCACCATCAAGTATGGTCTTAGGTGTTGAATTTTGTTGATAACCATTTATCTGGTTAAAAAAAAAAGCTTCCTTATAGTCATTGTTTGTTAAGAGATTTCCTAATGAATGAATGTTGAATATTGTTGAATGCTTGTTCTTCAACTTTAAGATGATTGTGTCCTTTTACTATGTGCATAATGTATGTATTATGGTAAAATAGTTACATTGCTTGATTTTCAACTGATGAGTCAACTTTGCATTCACTAGCTGAATAAACTCATGGTCATGATGTGTAGCCCTGCATTTTATATTCTAAAACGTTCTTAAGGAATTTTGTGTCTATGTTGATTAGGAATATTGGTCAGTAGTTTACTTCCCTTGTGGAGTCTTGTTTTACGGTCGGTGTAATCTTGATAGCAGAATGATTTGTAAGGTTTTTCCTCATGTTCTATCTTCCAACCAATTTGTATAAAGTTTTACATTTTCTTCCTTAAAAATTTTGTAGAATCATTAGTGAATCCATCTCTAAATCAAGTTTTTCTTGTTGCACTTGTTATTGAAAAAAATAATTATGAGTTCAACTTAATAGATATAGGGAAACACATTACTTATTTATTCTCAAATGGAGTATGGTAGTTTGTGTCTTTCAAGGCATTTTTCCATTTTTTTAATTTAAAAAATGTATTGGCATAAAATTGTTCCCAAAATACTTATTGTCATTTATAATGTGTAGGAAATGAGGTGATGTTTCTTATATCATTCTGGATATTGGTAATTCTCAATTTTTTTCTGTTTAAAATTGTTGTTGTCTGCTATTATTTCTTTCCATCTGATTTATTTTAAAATATTCTTCTTTTTTCTTAAGGTAGAAACTAAAGCATTTGATATGTGCATTCTTTTCTAATACAAGTATTCAGTGCTGTAATTCCCCCAACACTCTGCTCTAGCTGTGTTCCAGATAATTGTATACATTAAAATTTTTCTTTATTCTGCTCAAAATATACTTAATTTTCCTTGTAATTTATTCTTTGAAGTCTGTTATTTAGAAGTGTTTTATTGATTCCTCAGATATATTTCAGTTATTATTCTCAAATTTGCATTTATCTTCTTTGAAGAATATACTTTTGAATAATTTAATTTAAAAAAAAAATACTGGGAATTGTTTTATGGCCCATAATATGGTCTACCTTGTTTAACCTTTTTTTCTTGGTTTTATAGCAAAATCTATATTCTGTTGTTCTTAGGCAAAATGTTGAATAAAAGTCCATGAGGTTAACCAGGTTGATAGGGTTCTATATATATCCTTGCTCACCATCTGTCTACTTTCAATATCAGCTGCGCAGAATGAGGTATTGAAATTTCCAACTATAATTGTGCATCTATTTCCCTGTTAAGTTCTAGCACTTTGCTTCATACTCTAATGTGTGAAATGAAATTTTCTTAAGGATGCCTCATTCTCCATGTACATGCCAGTGAGTATAAAGCTGTCATGCATTGAAGGAAGTTAAACAATCTTTTTCACCAAGAAAATGTCTTTTCTTGTAAAAATGTTTTTCTCAAATATAGTTAATATTGTAATTATATTTACCCCCTTGGCAGTTAAGCATATGACTAACACTCTCAAAGGAAGTAAACCCCTAATATACCCCAAAATTGTTATCAAGTTTTGGAAAGTATTATAAAGTTCTAGAATGTATTGATACGATGTTATGTGATTTATATGATAATATAATAATTTATGTAACATTGAGTTTAAACATTCAAAATAATCTGATAGAACTGCAAGCCAAGAAAAAAGAAGGTACGTCAAGAGTATTCAGGCCCCTCAGTTAGTAGATGAGATTAGCAAACCAGACTATGATGGGCAGTAATTCCTTCCATCTTTCCAAAGCATGCCAAACTTGTTGAGTACCATTAACATAGAGATCCTAGGATGCTTCCTACCCTGCTGAAGACCAGATCAATGACATCTGAAAACAGAGATCATTGCATGTGCTGGGTCTTAACAGTCTTAAATCCCTGGCCAGGATCCCTCAATATGTTCTGTGCCCTTTTAATGCTTTTTCCTCCTGTTTCTTTATAGTTGCCACTGAGCTAAAGGAAATAAATAAATAAAAGTTGTTATCACAGTGGAACAGACTTTTGTTTTAAAATGTTTATTGCTTTTCTAAAAAGAAACAATAAAATCTCTATATGTCCATATCTAAGTAGTAAACATTTCCGGCTATGATGGAATAATAAGAACTAGATTTACCATCCAACCTTGAACAACTAGAAAACCACACTCATGTACCACATACACAAGTGTTTTCAGGTTTGAAATAACAAGGAGCGAAGGATAATAATTTTGGGGAGGAGGGAAATACAAGGGATGAACGCTGCTAATGTCCATTTCATGCCTGGAACGTTTCGGGATGTGATTATTACAGGTAAACGTTCTCCATCAGAACCAGACAGCAATGCTGAGTGGAAGAGATCAAATTTGAAGATCAGAGAGGTCAACAAGGTTAGGATTTGTGGGAGAGATTACTGGAAATGTGGAAGCTGCAGAGGAAGAGAAGGGGAGGGAGAGTGCGCACAAGAGCCCACTCTGAAGAGATCCCTTGGGTCCTTAGTCATGGACTCAGGTTCAGTGGCAAGGGAAAGAACCTACTTTATTATTTTTATTTTTTTTAAATTTTTTATTGTTATGTTAATCACCATACATTACATCAT